AGTCAGTTCATAGCTCCGATCGAAGGTGAGTGGGCCCGTTTATTGACATATGAGAATTGACATTGTAGCAACTAGAATTTTCTTTGCATTTGGTTTTCACATTTCTCCGTGACCCCTGGGGATTATGTAACCTACTCGTTAACTACTTAAGCGATCATCGCTATGTATAGTTTTGTATTCATTTTCGTCAGTGTTCGTTAGCTGCTGGCAGGTAAGTTTTACTGGTTTCCACCGCGTGTTCTTGGCTGCATTTCACTGTTCTGAGCTTTGAAGTATTATTCTAAGAGTTTATCCTGTTGGACAGTCGCCACAGTTTGTAAGTTTATTTTACTCCGTTATCAGTTTTTGTCGTTATATTTCTGTACTTAGGTATTTTGTTTCGTTTATTTTTCAGTTGAATCACACCGATAATTACGCTCATTCGCTCTCGCGCTTATGCGCACCATAATTTAAACAAGTGCATTCAAACTGTAGCATCGATTTCTGTAGCGTTTATACCTACAGATATACATAGAGTATTTTTGTTAATGTGTGTGTTTTGTAAATTGTAACTTTTGATTATACTTCCACTTATAACTGAATCTACCTGAGTTTATTTCGCCGTAAATAGGTTGGTTCATGCAATGACTAGATATGACTGGGTGCGGTCTCGAAAAAAAAAGATGCTACAATTCCACTGTACTTTTTGGCAGCTTAAGTCTAAAAATTCTTGATACTGTATACCTTAATAACAGTTAGTGAGACGCATTTCTAATTTTTCGCAGGCCTTAAAAAGGCATTCAGCTTAACCTTCTGCCAAACACAAAATCTAGCATATGAGAGCACACTCTGAAAAATTTACTTCGGGCTATGTTGTGCGTATTGCAATCAAAGTCTTAAGCAAAAATATGTACACTTTTTGTTTTGTCTCGTTCCCATAAATTTTTCGCGTAAATTTTCCCCCATTCGTCGATTAGTTTGAGTCGATCGAAGTTGGCAGCTAACAATTTCGTGTTGCAAAAACGACGCTTAACGACATTTGAGTCATTTAAAGGGTTCGCAGAACAGTTGTTTCTTTTGTATTTCTTTTCCTTTTTCAATCATTATTATTTCTTTTCATTTAGACAGACATAAGAGAACTTAGCCTTGTTTTCACAATCATCTAATCTTTTGCTGTCACTAAGACTGTTTGAGACAACACCACCCTTGGTCGTAGACATTTTGCAAACGATGCAATGCATAATTTGCAAACGATGCTAACATTGAGGCGCTGTTTGCTTTGCTATTTTCAACTTCGCTACACACGAATAACCATGAAACCCTCTGCCAATTTAGCTTGATGTCGCCACCAGTTCAATATAGATATATACCACCCGAAGCTAAACCGAAACTGGCTCAGTGTAGCCGATATATAAAACTGTGATATATAAAGTGCACCGATAGTGCACTATATTTATAGACATACAGTTTGTGTTTGACCTATGAAACTTCTTTGCCTAAAATATAGGTTCACGGACTGCCAAGAAACAGCAGGCTTCTAGTCCTGAGATAACATAAGCCTCAAAGAGACTGTGAGCAATTTCATTACCAGTTATGAACGCGAATATTTTGGTTGGTGTGGTATTCATAGCCGCCTGCTATGGTGCAATTTCAAGGTAATTTTCTCCCATGTAATCAAAATATTCCTTGTTTTAGTAGGGAGTTTCCATCACTTCGTCCTGACAATTAACTCCTCGATTTATAAAACCAGTATTGGTTTTTAATCTTATTAATCTTATTACTCAGTGGCAGATCTAGGGGAGGGGCCCGGAGGGGGGAAGGCCGGGCCCCTCTTATTTTGGGTAAAAAAAGAAGAAATC